CTGGGGAACACCGCTCATGACCAGCCACCAACTGGACTTAAGTCCATTTACCACAACTCTCCGGGCTTGGCCACCCAACCAGTTTTTTACCCAATGAAGAGTATGCCCATCCAAGCCATGAGCTGCCTGCTTCCCAAGGAGTAATTCCCATCTTAAGAATTAATTCTGTAGTAAATTTGATGCAAGAATATAAAATACAAACTAAGGCACAATCTGTGCCTACTACCTATATTGCTACAACTCAGCTACAGCCAGCTGACATTTCAAATTTTTGTTTCAGTGGCTGTTGGCAATCCAATGCCTATCCCTAGCTGGCTCTTTGCCGCTAAAAGGACCCAGTCACTATGAGTACACTTAAGCCATCAGAAGGGGCTCATGAGGTTTATTCATTTCCAGCAGCCAGACAGCTGGTTAAAGGAAGATGGCCAATGCAAGCAAGGGAAACTCCTTTTTGGCAGTCACTAGTGAACAGACCACCTAACAGCAAATTCCCAGAATAAGCTACTCTCTGCTAAGGCAGCAAATGAAATAGCTACCATGAGCATATTTTTTTAAATCCAGGCAAGCATTTAAGGAAAAATTGTATCACAAGTAAGAAAAACTTGCCAGAGAGGTAGGCAGGACTTAAACAGGCCCACATGTGAATACTGCTATGAATTAAGTGCTAGAGGGTTGCCTCTAGCACCAGCTAATTCAGCTACATTCATTTAACTCCTGGTGTTGCCCAGCAAAACATGCTGATTGCATAACAAAGCCATTGCAGACTATCTGGAAAGTATAAAAACATGGATTCAAAAACATGCTCAGTGCTCTGGTGGAGGACGCCTCCCATAACGTTCCAGGTTTTGACTTTTCAAACTTGGGTCTAATAGAAAGCTGCACTTCAGTGTCAGAATTTCTCACCTTCCTACACCCTTCTTATATCACAAACCCCCCTGCATTTTAATTAGCATGACATTATTCACTCACACAGAACATGAGCAATTTATTCTGTCATTGGATAATACAGCATAGAAATGGAGTGCACCTGTTTTAGTAGTGTTTGATTTAATAATTACAAGTCATTTTTGCCAGACATTTCATCCTAAACTTGTATGATGCTTCAGAATTTCTGGGGGTTGTATCCCCCCAAAATCAAACCCAAGCCAAATATATACCACAATGGCATGAATTCTAACTTAACAAAACTAATATTAACTCCCTTGCATCTTCAGTCTGACTTTCTATTAACACCTCTTTGCACTTACAATGCTATGAGTATGGAAACCTGATCACAACTCCCAGAAGTAACAGATTAACATGTTACTGCTGGTCAGCTAAATTGCAGTACCCGGTAACATACCTGTTCTTACCATACCTCACAAAATAAAATTTATTCTGCTTTTTATAGGCACTGTACTAAGATCTTGGTTGAATAAAAGCCACAGAAGTGGCTTTTTTCTGAAGAAAATCCATAGAAACCACCCAGCCCCATGCTGGAAAGCTTGCAGTGTTCAAAAAGCTGTAACATAGCAGTCTTAGACTGGAAAGAAGCATCATCAACAAACAAATCAAATTTACTCTTTGTATCCTTATTCAAAACAACTCCTTGAAGCGGAAAAATTTTGAAAAGCTCTCTGGTTGGACTAGATGATCTTAAAGGTCTTTTCCAACCTAAACGATTCTATGATTATATTCAGTACATTATCCAGGATTAGGGTGTGTGCTGACATGGAGATTGGTGGGAAGGGAACAAACTACTTGAAGTCTGATTTTAGGACTCATTGGCTGGTTCTGCATAAAAGTACAGCCCTGAAGGCTCCAAAAAGCTTTTCCAGAAAGCACCAATTACAGAAGAGAAGATGCATGTTAGATGGATAATGCAGGAGCCACCATATGAGAAATCTTCCATTATTCAGATCTACCAAATCACACTGTTGCCTTCCACTGGCAAACTAACAAAAGTAGCTTCAACATTCCACAAAATCATGGTTTATATCAAAGTTAGTTCAAGCACTGTGAAAGAGCAAGGAAAAATAAATACCAAAGATTTATAACAACTATGCTAAATAAAGCAAAAAGTATGCCAGTACAGATGTATCTTTTTAAAGTTACAGATAGCATCAATTAGGTTTCTTCCTTAAAGCCTCCTGAAATGAGCAAAGCCTCCTTATAATATTTAAATCATGCACTATTTCTTAAGAAGCAAAACACAGGAGGACAAGAATGTACCAATTCACTACTAATTTTGTCCTTTCTGCCTTTACTGCACATTTCCTTCCTGCTTGAATTGGCTTATCCCTATTTAACAGATACGGATTTTGGTTAAGAAAGCTAGAATAATTTTCATGTGCTTTGTTGTTGAAAAAAAAAAAATTACTGCACTGTGAAAGGACGGTTACAAATTCATCTCCAACAACTGTAATACATATATAATACCCGTATCATTCACCTAACAAATCTGCAAGAATCATATAGTGCAACTCTTTGCCAATCTTTCTTTTAAGTAGTTAAAATCACATAGAGTTGTAATATGGAGAGAATTTAAGGACAACCAAAGACTCTCACATCCAACAACCAGATTAGAAATCAAAGAAAAAAAAAAATTCTTCCATCAGAGCCTAATTTTAGATTATTCTATGTGGAGCACTCAACACATGTTCCCACTAGACAAATACCTCAGACTTTGTGATCAACAAATAATTTAGTTTAATCCTATGCTTTTCAGGTATGATATTCAGGGAATAGAAAACTGGGTTGCTTGATTCTGCGTTTTTAGATATGTGTGGCTACCAACAACTGAAAAATCACAACATATCTCTTTCTGAGTTTTCATTCAGAAATATTTTTAATCCAAAAAGAGAAAAAAAACCCAACCTTTCTTCACAGGTATACATTACATATTTACTATTTCTCCATATGCTGGAATCAAATATTACAAACATTAACAAACTGACTGAGAGGACATGTAACTTCTGTAATTTGGTCTGATGTGACTCACTGCTAACAAAATTGTAAGAAATCAGTCAAGAGCATTACAGAAAATATCTTTCCACTTATTACAGCCAAGGGACACTAAGTAGATGGTGTTTCTTCTCCCTTGATCAAAACCAAATGCTACATTAAGAAAGCTGTGTTAATTTAAGATACATGCCTCTGATTTTATATGCAAGAATAGTATTCCAAGTAGCATCTTTGAATATAGCACAAGTGTTGACATGAAAGCTAGGTAATGTATGAGAACAAATTACTGAAAAGAGTTAAGATCCTCTGTTATTACTATTGCCCATGCTTATTTTTCTAGTTAAGCTAGAAACAAGTTCACAAAACTTCTTGGGGCAAATACTTTCCTAAGGGTAAAACACTAAGCCATTGCTCCCTGCCCATGCTCTTTGCATAAGACAAAAAACTTAAACAAAGAAGTAAGCAAACTACCTCTGGACACAAAAAGGAACAAGATGAGTTGCAACCATATGCTCTCTTTAGGAAACTTGGCCCTCAAACTGTAAAGTTTCCTTATGCCTATGTTGTGTTTGCCCTGTTTTGTCTGAATGAAAAAAAGATTTCTTAAATGAATAAACAATAGCATCAGTCACGGCACACTGAAAATAGGCTGTACTGCGAGCAACCTTCTACCTGCAGTATCTGTTGACAGAGACCAGCTATTGGTATAGCACTTTGCAGAGAACACTGTCCTGCAAAAGCAGCAATACTGAAAAAAATCATTTAGCAAATCTGAGAGGAGTTTCATTTTGGAAACATTTTCAAAAAGAACTAAAAGTTCAGGAAACACTGTTGATTTCCTGAGAACATAGAGTGCATTCACCATGAATCACTAACTCTCACTTGAGATCATTGTTAGTTTCATTCAAAGCAGAATTATAGAACAAAACATTTTAGGAACAACTTACCAACCAAGCAATTGGATATGATTTGTTAATAAAACCATGTGTAACTTGGGAGAAAAACTGATCCTCAGCCAGATAAACAAGAAGGAGATGAGTGAACTGCTTTAAATGATGTAGGTCTGTTGTTAAGGAAGGTACTCAGAATAAAATTTTCAACCATCTTTAATATTCACTGTCATGTTCTAAAAGGTTAACATTTCCAAACAAAGGATCATTTCCAAATATATACAAGGGAATACAAAGTTGCGAGATACGCTTACGTGGATATTTTTCTACCCTTGGTAAATTGCGGTGCAAGATGTTAATGAAAGCCTGACACCCGGATAAAGATCTAATTTGTTGGTTTGATAAATAGATGATATTAAAAATCTAAACTTTCAATGTTAGTTTTTGAAGAAGTTCATTCAGCAGCTTCACAGTCCTTTGGTTTTCTTCCCCACTATGGTTAATTCTGTATGCAGTACGGATAAGAAGGCTACAAACTTCTTTGCTTGTATCAGTTGTCTTAGTAATCTGAGGGGAAACAGAGAACATGGGAAATAATGCTAAGTTGTTGCTAAGTACTAAGAACTCTCTGTTAATATTTGCAACAAAACCACAGATTTGTCTCCCACCGCTGAACATGTGAGATGCTCTGAGTTCAGAAGCAACTTCTGCCCAAGGCATCTCCTTTCATACATCTTGGCGGAACAGATTTCCACTGTTCTCTCAAATTCAAGTAAAAAAATTAAGAGGTCAAAAAGTTTTTAAAGGAAACACAAATGGTCAGACAGTGTAACCATTTAGAACTCATCTCCCTAGAAAACATCTAAAAGAACATGAAGGTTTCGGGTGGGCTTGGGGAGACAATTCAATTCTAAAATGTTTCAAAAGTAAAAATAAATCCCTTCCCCAAAAGATGACAAAGTACCAAGAAAAGACCCTAGGCTGCAATTTTTGCAGATCAGGAGGGACTTTAATCCACATTATCTGCTGTGTTAATGCCAAAATTTATTAAGCTAACCAAACCCACTGCCATGCATCCCATTCTGGTTCCACACCATTCTGCTTTTCATATGTTGTCTTCAGGCCTTTTCAAATCACATGGAGACCCCAGCTACACATTAATGATTACACAGATAGAGTCAAAATTAATCAGCTTGACATACTCTGGCCTACAACAGCTCATGACCACCCTGCACTGGGGAATACTCAGAGTTTTGAAAGTTAGTTATGTTGCTTTCTATAAAGAAACAAGAAATTGCCTTCGGTCTTCCTGAAGAGGTTTACAGCAGCAGACTAGTATATGAAAGCATCACTGCTCAACAGCCACACTCCTCAAAAGAGAAATATTAAAACCAGCAGACTGTAAAAACACATACAATCCCCCCTGAATTTTATCATTACATTCTTATGCTAAGAAGAAATTGATCATTTGTAAACTTACACCTAAAATGCTAGCCCTTATCTTAGTCTTTAAGCAGAAAAATGTTACGTCTGTTTAGTCAGCCAGAAGGAATAACCACCAAAATAGGTTTCCAGTTCCCTGTGTCATAAAATCAGACTCCGTATACATGCCATATACCCTACACAGATGGAAAAGCACACTGCTGCTGAAAGGAAAAAAACTTTTGAAGTGCTAAAACCACACACTGGCCCCCAGCTTGCACAGGAGGCTTGTACTTCTTAAAAGAGTATGGTTTTACAGTTAGAGAGGAATAAATTCCTAATCTTATACTGAGATAGCACTATTTATCTTGAGAGACACAAACACATCATACCGTTTGCACCAATATACCTGAAGGCTCTCATCAACAATAGCAAGATATTGTGGCACTTCCAGTATTTTACTCCTCTTCAACTTTTTTCACACACTTAGTGACACTCTCTCAGGTCTTTGTTCTTTTTTTCTCTCAATTATCACACCACTTTCCTCTCTGGCTTTACTAAAGGACCAAGCTTCTGCCTCATCAATGCTAACACTTAGTAACTAGTTGTTTTACATAATGGAAAACAGAGAGAAGACAGTTCCATCATCTCTGCAGCAGCTGGATAATTAAGGGAGTGATTTATAACTGGGAAAAGCAAAATGTTTGCACATGCTGTCTATGCCAGGTGTAAACGAACTGTAGGTATCCCTTAGCTGCAAGCTACTACTCCAAATATTTCTGCAGCTGCATAGCCAGGACAGCAACCTTTTCAGTAAGATCTTGTCAAGAAGTGCCAAGAAGGAAAATATTTTGATTGTAGCTGAAGTATGTAGAAGGTTAGGTACAGTTGCTGTAGTTACAATCTTCTTTAATTCTCTGTTACGTATTTTCTTTATTAAGAGGTAGGAATTTAAACCCAAAACAATAAAAAAAAAAATTTACTTAAACCGAAAAAAAGGAAGAAACACTTACATGGTAAACAAATTCCTGGGCAATCATATGTCCACCAGAAGAAAAGAGCAAGAAGTTGGTAAGAAGATGTGTTATAAGATGCTGGTTACAACACTGCTCTATATCTGTTATACTGTGTAGAGCAGCCTCCAGATCTTTGATAGAAAGCACTCTACAGCTGAAGAGCATCATTAGATGATTGTAGACTGCTTGAGCTTCTACCTGTAGGAAATAATTTCAAAGGACGCAGGATCAGAGAAGAGTAAAGGTCATACCTATGGTATTCTTCCTTTGGATTTATTCACTAACAGGAAACTGAATCCTTGGCAGAAACAACCCAAACATGAACAGAGTTTGAATTTAAGCAGCAGGGAGAACAGGGAAGGAAGGGCTGTACACATTTCTTTCATACTGATTCACACACACGGAGGTGGACAGAATAGATTTTTTAACATTCTTTGGTCTTGCAAACTAAGCAGGCAGGGCATCAAGCCAGGATTTGACCTTTTTTAATAATAAAAGGAAATGGAGAAAGTCCCTCAGCAGAACATGCTCAGATTTTTGCATTGTGGGAAAAAGAACAGAGGATCCTCAAGGGCTCATTTCAGTACTGCTGCTACAAATCAATTAAATCCCCATGCAACCTGACCTCAGCTGATAAAATCTTCTGGTACGAATGCAGTTTTTTCCTTCTTCCTGTGTTGTGTGCAACTTATGGTTCTACCTTTTGAGTTAGCCAATAAAAACTAATTTTTACTGGGAGTAGAAAACAGAAGATTTTGGCACCTACACAATGGAAAAAGAACTATAAGCAACTATTGCAAAAAATCCTAACAATAATTCTGTTCACTATATTAAAAATAAGCCAAACAAACTGGTAGAAAAAAAACCACAAATGAGTAAGTGCAGGAACAATGGAAAAATATAACACTGCAGAGCCAAAGGAAAAGGACACCCGTTTCTCAACCGTGTTCATTAGGAAAATCTGTTTCAGTCATTTACCTGACCTTGCTTTTCTCATCCCTGCCCTATTAACAATTCCACATAAAAGAGCCTGAAAAGGCTATTCTTGAATTATGTCCACAATTACATGTGAGGCAACGAATGACACCAGAGCCTAAAGAAAGGTAACTAGAATTCTTCAATATTGTATATCCCTCTGTGCATCCTATTCTTGTTGTACCTCCATCCCATGGAGATTGGTAGTAGCAGGCTCTGCTCCATGAGCTTACCTACCCTAGGAGACTCGTCCTTAGTGCCAAAGTTACCAACCTCCAAGTTTTGTTCCTGCAAGCTTTCAGAGTCTAAAGGTATGAAAGGACTCCAAGTAAATATTGAGGAGCAGAATATTCAGTCCTGCACATATGTGTGAAGTCTAGTGAACAGCAAAAGTAGCCTTTTTCTTCTTTAAATCATTTTAACCCTATGTATTCCACTTCTGTTGACATACAAGCTGCTACCTAAAGTGAGTATCAGGAAGGCAAAATCTTAAGTCATGAGTGCATGCCTTTCCACACAAAAATACGCTGAATGAAAAGTCCTCCAGCTTGGCGACTGCCAGAATCTCCCATCCCATCTTAATCCTTAACTGGTGAAAGGTGCAGGCGTTGAGGAGGAAACCACTCCCTTTGAAAGAGCTGAGAGCTAACTTGACAGAGGACAAAATAAAAGAAAAAGCTAATATCTAACTAAAGGCAGAAGCTTTGCATGAACTGTGGGAATGCTTCTGAAGTAGCCTGACCTGTGGGAGAAAAAAGGTCTTGAAGTAAATAAAGAAAATAATCATAATGAACTTAAATATTAGACTTCTAGGAACTGATAAGTAACTGTGTGTGCTCTCAGTGGAAAAGCTTTTTTATCACTAAAGTTTGTCATACATTATGACAGGAATAACAATCTGATAGAATAGGGGACACACAGGGAGATGATTTTACATATGGGACAATGTGATTTCATTCTGTGGTGCTGGAGTTAGAACAATATTCCATACATAGATCTGCACCTACAGTCCTTCAGTTTCATTCCTCATGTTTATTGCTTGGGTATTGCCTTCTTTGCCAAAACTGCATTCTAAACCCAACCCTGGTTTCTTTATTTCACTGTAGCTCTAACCTAACTCTGCTCAGCTAACAGTCCACCCCTGCTCCTAGACTATAAGAAATTAAAGAGAAAAAAAATTAAGAAGTGATTGGGATGTGAGCTTGCATTTGTAGTGCCATCTGGGTGGCGGGAGGGGAAGGGAAGGAAATAAAATACTGCAGAACACACTGTTGTACATTGACCATTAGATGTAAAATGAAAGCATGATGTTTTACTAGCGTGGTGTACTGGTCTGCATTTTTAAATCAAACAGAATCTGGTTTTGAATTAAGGAAAACTAGAGATGCTACAGACAGATTTTGTATCTGGGCTTTGTAGATCAGATTGCTTGGGCTAGTTCAAACTTGCATAATAGGCCCAGCTTAAAGGCTTTCATGTATTTGTATGCATACAGAGACACAGAGCACTCTTCACACAGTACAATGCATGAGGTTAGAATACTGCTTCCTTCTGTTAAGACACCTAGCATGTGGGAATATAACATACTTGTTACGATCTCATACATGCCAAAAATTAGTAAAGATACATAAGAGAAATGAGAATAGATGGGCAAGGTTAGGATTCAGGGCTGTGTCTGATAAGTATCTTTACTGCTTCAACTGCTGTTGTGATTTCTCTTGTGTTTCCTTCTCAGAAGATGCCATAACACAGGAATGCTGAATTCTGCCACACAGTGATTTAAAAAACACCATTCCTAGAGTAGTTTTACTTGTGATTAAAAGCACCCAAGTTATCCAAAAGAAAGTCAGGAGGGCACTAATCTATATAGTATACTATAAAGAGGAAAAGTGTTTTCTAAATGTCACCAAGAAAATCCACAAAAATTAACTTTCAACTTCTCCATGGCAACACAATTCCCAGGACACCTTGTAAAGCCAAAACCCTTCTCCAGTGTAGACCTTTCATTTTTCTGGTGTGCACTATTTGTTTTATATCAATAAGATATAAGCAGACTATTGACTGCTTAGTGCTGCTTACTATTGCTACTTTACCCACCATTGTTTGAGTCCTTTGTTGATTTTCATTCTGAGGACAGTAGTAAAAAGCCAGCAGCCACAGCAAAGCATCTGGTTCTACAGCAGCCCTCAGTAATTGTTCTGCAGCAATATCCAGCCATTCTCCAAAACGAGCAACGAAAAACCAAATTTCAAAAAGGTCAGCAAGAGAACTGGAAAATAACAGAGACACAATTAAGTATTTCTTGTTATTTAACGTTTTAAAATGTCTTAAGTTAACTGCAAAGGGTGCTGGCATGAAAATAAAAACCATTCAACTACTCTTCAACAAATAATGCCTTAACTGCTAAGCATACAGCCAGGTACTACTCTATTATCTGCAGTCATGATCAAATGAGACATACCCAGTGCTACTAACAGATTAACTTTGTCCGTAGAACAGACTAGCCGTAACACCAGTTTCTAATAAGCTGTGACAAAATACCATGTATTAAAATCTACATCATAAAATTAAACCTTATCGTTTATACTCTCCAGTTGAAGGATTTTCAAAACTTTAAATTGTATCTCAAGTGTTGTATTCTTAACATACTTATTGTATGTTGCCTTATATTGTCTTCCAATTTCTCTCTGTTGCTTTCCAGGGTTATCTTCTGGTTTTTGGTAATTCACAAGGCACAAGTTTTCTGGTAATTCATGAGGAATTAAATTTAGATGGACTAAATATAAAGTTTTTAAGGATATTCATCTCCTGATTCTTAAAATTCAGGTCCTCTTTAATGAAAATTTTGAAGGTATTTACAACTGGGTTACTGCAGTAAGAAAAAGAAAGGTGAGAATGGACCACAGCTCATCTCTACACCTTCTTATATGTACTCTTCTAAAGTAAAGATAAGACTAAAAAAAATAGAAAAAACGGGGAGATGCGAACTAAAGGTAGGCATCTCCAAAGCAAAAAGTCAAACTGAGTGTGTAAGGAAGGACAGACAGAAGGACAGCTGGAAGGAGATTAAGAACCAGGAACAATTGTTCCTATTAAGTTTGGCAAAAGTTTGAAGAATTAGAGATTTTTCTTATGTTTTATTCCTGGGGACTCCAAGATCTGCTGTGCCACCCTTCCCAGGAAACTCCAAGAGATCTCAGAAATTCCAGGAGTTGATGAAGTTGTCTGATACCATCATGTCATCTGGGGAACATGACAAGGTCATAGTTGGAATAAACTGCTTTATCTTTTAGACTTTCTGAAGAGGTGGGAGGCCCAGTTTTATGGATGAAGGTGTGATAGGTGCAGATAGTATTCTATGTCTGGAGTATACTGGTGACTGATGTTGTCTACAGGTGACCCAGCAATTATTGATCCTATAAATGATACTGTCTATATGCCGCAGAATCTCAGGGTCTCAAAATCCTATTCCTAGAACACAAATCCACCACATCAGTATTTTTGGATAAGCGTGATCACTGACATCAGACATAAGAGGTTGACACAGAGTGACATAGATTCACAGAGAGAAAATACAGTACTGAGGTGAGTGCTACAAGTCACCACTGTTGATAACCCACAGCTTTTGGAAGGGCAGCAGCATGGTTCAGACTGCAGGGAACTAGAGGTGTGTGACAAAATCTCAGACTAAAATTCCTTAGCTAAAGGAACGGGATCAGCACTGGTAAAGTCTTTGAAGATACCAGAATCTGGAAATGCAACTTAACAAACAAACAAATGTGATAAGTGATCTAGGACAACAGCCCTCCCCTCAGCAAAATAATCTACTTATCTGACTATAATTCAATGCTGTGGCAATGTAAGTGTATAGGCTAGCTCTGAAACCCAGTGATGCACAAAGATGAAATTTAATTAAAAGCTAATCACTGAGAACAGATTAACTATACTTAGGGTAATATTGACAGTATTTACGACTGGAAGTGTTCATAGCTCAAAGGGTAAATACAAGTCCTAAAACTTTAAGCATTAAACTAATTTTAACAGGTACTTAGCAGAACAGAATGTAATTCTTGCCTAGAGAGCCTAGGCACCACTGCACTTGTAACTCAACATGACTTTCCTGTACCACCACAGTGCCCAGTGCCCGGTTTCGAGTCCTGTACCCTCCATTTCTGTCCCCACTGCTGTTTCTACCCTCTCTGTAGTGGCACCCATGTTAACTGCTCCACTGTCATTGCCAAAAGTGGCCCTTCACTTTTTCTGGGACATCCTCATGTAAAATGTACATCACTTGATTTCTGGTTTAAAGTGTCACATAATATTTATTATTCACTGAGATGACTACATATACTAAATAATGGCATAGAAGTACACAGAAAGCACCTTGCTGTAAGACTTACATTTGGTGTAAAATAAAACCATTGCAAAACAAGCTATATAAACAGAGAGCACTGACTATAAGAAGCAAGAGGATATGCTGTATAGTAGTATTTTTTGCTCCTCCATTGATCTTGTTAAGTAGAAAGGATGCAGAATCAGGAATAAAGCAATAAAAGAAAATTGAATACAGTTTCCTCATGAATATTAGTATTTAAAAACTTAAGCCAGATCCATTTTCTTTGTAACTGAGAGTGATTTGGTAGAAAACATAATCATTGCACAAGTTCTAAAAGAAGTAAGATGATATTCTGGCAAGTACAATACTATTCAAACTAGCGTACTATCAAAGAAAAGGGGGAAAAAGAAAATATAAGCCAAGAAAGGGCTAGGCAACAATAGGAGAACAAACACGCTCTATTATTGTAACACATTATGATGGATTATATTTGTTTTATTTGTTTGTTCTAAGTTTGAATTATGTGTTTCTTTAACAAGCCAGGGTCAGCTACTGGTCACACTCCAAGGGCAGAAAGGTTTGACAGACTTCAGGGATGAACAGGCGAGACATAGCAATGAACTGCAGCTCATACAGAGAGAGAGAAGTGGCCAGCAGCCAGACCAACCTCAGAAGGAACAGCAAAAAGCTTTTTTCTGCCACTCAACAACAAAATAAAAGCCTCCATGAGTTAACTGAAACCAAGCATGGGTGCAAGTATCTGCCTTCCAGGACACAGGGGGATAGTTGGACATCTTGTTTTGCAAGTCTATCTGGCCCACACATTCCATATTTCTATTGAAATATTTCAGGTTTTAAATCAAAATGAAATTTGTTTCTTTGAATTTAAAAGCTGTTCAATATTCTTTGGAAAGCTCACTCTCAGAGCAGATCTAAGGAGACTCATAGCTCAAGCTCTAGTTAGTCAGGTCTCATCACACACTTGATAAGAAAGAATTGCAGGGCAGCCACAGATAGAGATGTATCTTCTTTCATTATTTTCATATCGTCCTAGAACATCTACTACCAAAGCAGAATTCATGTAGACAAACACTATCATTCATTACAGCAACTATTTGGACAAAAAAAGCTAAGGGCACCAGGTCAGAAACACGGGGTGTCAGCTCAGAGAGAAATGTAACAAACAATGATACTGCAGTCTAGCAGTTCATATCTTTATGAAAAAAACCTAGAAATTTGAAGTTTGGATGTTTGCACAAGCCTGCAGAAAGCAAATACAATCTCCTTCATAAAACAGTACCTCTCACAACAGGCACTTTCCAATACTAGCTGCTTTTCTGGTTGGAAGAGTTGTCTTATTATTCAATCCAGAATCAGTTTTAAAAGTTTTGGGGGAGAAATGGGACAGTAGTCAAGTAAGCATTTCTGTTATACTGCTAGCTATTTGCTGAAATGAAAAGAATGACAAAATTTTGTTTGCTCAAAGGCTTATTGGTCAGGTCTATAGGTGCTACAAAGTTCAGGTTCAGTAAGTAATCTAAGTCCTATTATTTAAAACAAAACTGTTTAGAGAATAGTAAGCAAATGATGAAATGTAGCCACTAAAGACTTCAACTGACAAGACTTTTCACAAAGATGCATATGCAAAGGACAAAAAGAAAATATAATACTGCTTACCTAATGTTTGCATCTTCTACTAGTGCTTTGAGCATATCCGAAATGTGTTTCAAGTGTTGAGACCGGTGTGTAGTTGGCAGTTCTGAGGAGGGAAGATGGAAATATAACTCTTAAAAGTCTAGTCTATCCAACTAGAACAGAACAGTGAAATTAACCATATTAAGCCAGCATTAAAATTTGTGCAACTTGATTCAGTGATCACAAAGCATTTAAAATTTCATTTTAAAATTTCCCAATTTTCAATAATACCTATTACCGTGTGTCTTAGAACAATGCATTGACAAAGCCACCTAAGGAAGTACAGCTAGGAATATTCAAATGAGGCTGATGTACCCTTGTGTAAAAGCTACCTCGATATTAAATATATAATCAGTGGAGTAACATTCCCAGAGGCTCTTGTACTGAGCTGAAATTATTGCTCATGAAAAACTGTACCATATTGAGCAGTGGTTTCTTGACCTATAAAAATGGGAAACCTGAAAACAGTATTAGGTTTGCAATCTAAAAGATCACCAGAATTCAAGCTTTAGAGACAAATGGCAAGGCTATTTCTTGTAATATACATATGAAAATTTTCATAATGACAATTACTAATATTATAAGATAATTTAGTATTTTTACATTCTCAGTAACTTCTCTTCGTTCCTACAAAATTATGCACTCTTTGTTATTAATTTGTGGTTTAATTCTTTTTTTATTAAATTCTTTTAAGTTACATCTGTATTATTGTTACATAAGAATTAGAAGTTCCTGCAAAAAAATACATTAAAAAAATATTATTAAAATTGCTAAGTCAACACACCCTATTTAGGAAATGGCAAAATTTTGTCTTAATCCCTTTTAAAGTTATTTTAAAACATAGACAGATCATGCAGGTTGGCTAATGCTGCATATATTTCATAAAGAAACTTACCAAAAGGACGTCTGAGTAAAGCTGTTACAAGAGGCTGGTGATGGTAAGGGAAGTAGGCCTTCAGTGGAAATTTGTGCTAAGATACAAAATCATTATTTTAGAGCTTTCTGGTCAGTTTTCAAAACAAACCCACAGCGAACAATTTCATCTAAGGTGGTAATTAACAATACAGACTGAAGCAAGAGAACACAAAAACTCTACACTTAATTTTAGGATTTCACATAAAGGAAAAAGGGGGATATTTAGGAAAAGCTTGCTTAGAAAAAGTAATTATTTATGGATTTTTAAAATACCTGCATTAAAAAAGATTCAGAGTATGAAGAAAATTATATCTTAATATTCTTCAGCTTTTTCCCTGTAATCACAAATGTCTTCACTCTCAATATGCAGAGGTTAAGAGAGACACTAATTAATTTAATTTCATTTTCCAGTGTAAACAGGTTCACAGATCACATTAAACTAAGAACTAATAACATCTACAAAACCTGAGCGTGTGATGTAGATTATCGCCTTACGTTAAAAAATGGAAACCTAAAATTCTTAGGATCCGATTCAGCGCAAGGTAGGGTAGTCATAGATAACAGACTTGTCCTCTGTTTATCTGGGTACGTGCGATTTGTGTACTGTGAACATTGCTGCTTGTGTAATTGAGACTAGCAGCAGCATACCTTTAATCTTTTTGTTCTGCAAACATCTACTACAGGCACGTCTAATGCATAGCATGCATGTGCATATGCAATATGAACTTCCTTTGAGGTGGACTGAAATGCAGCTGAACAGCCAGGCCCCGAGGGTGGTGATCCATGGCACAAAGCCTAGCTGGAGGCCAGTAACCGGCAGTGTACCCCAAGGGTCAATATTGGGTCCATTCCTGTTTAACGTCTTCATTAATGACCCAGATGATGAGGCAGAGCGTTCGCCTAGCAAGTTTGCTGATGACACAAAGCTGGGAGAAGTGGGCGATAGGCCAGAGTCGTGCTGCCATCCAGAGGGACCTTGACAGGCTGGAGAGACGGTCTGACAGGAACCTCATGAAGTTCAACTAGGAGAAAGGATAAAGTCCTGCACCTGGGAAAGAACAATCCCAGGCAACAGTACATGCTGGGACCCAACCAGCTGGAAAGCAGCTTTGCAGAAAAGGACCTGGGCGTCCTGGTGGACACCCAGTTGAATGTGGGCCAGCAATGTGCCCTTGTGGCAAAGGCAGCAAATGGTGTCTTGAGCGGCATAGGCAACGGATTGGTGACCCTTCCCCTCTCTGCAGCACTGGTGAGCCGCCGCTCCAGCAGCCAAACCTGGAGTACTATGTCCAGTTCTGGGCTCCTCAGTACAAGAGAGACATGGCCATACTGGAGAGAGTTCAACGAAGGGCCACAAGGGCGATTAAGAGACTGGAGCATCTCGCCTATGAGGAAAGGCTGAGGGAGCCTGGAGAAGAGAGGGCTCAAGGGGGATCTTATCAATGTATATCAACACCTGAAGGGAGGGTGCAAAGAAGATGGAGCCAGGCTCTCTTCAGTGGGGCCTATAACAGGACCAGAGGCAATGGGCACAAACTGAAACATAAGAGGTTCCATCTGAGTATCAGAAAACGCTTTTTTTTTTTTTTTTTTTTCTTTCCTTTTTTGTACTGTGAGGGTGACTGAGCACTGGCACAGGTTGCCCAGAGGGATTGTAGAGTCTCAGTCCTTGGAGATATTAAAAAGCTGACTGGACATGGTCTGGGGCAACTGGTTCTGGGTGGCCCTGCTTCAGCTGGGGGGTTGGACAAGATGACCTCCAGAGGTACCTTCCAATCTCAACCACTCTATGATTCTGTCCTTTCAGTCTTCAAGTATTCATACCAATGACCTTAGAGCTCTTCTGTCTCCTTTCTTTAGGAATAAGAGACTAGCAAATAGATGATCTCTTGAAACACAGACTGGGAATACAGAGTCTATACAATGTGATTAATTTCTAAATCCAATGAAGACTGTATTTAGTAACATTTCTTTTGGGATATACACGCATGCATCTTATAAACAAACAGAATGATACACTCTCGCTCTACTCCTTTTTCTGTTCTGTAAATAACAGTTAATAGAAATTACAGCACAATAATATATACAGTATTCTCAGACAATCTGTGTATCACTGGTATGGTAAGATTCTAAAAGCCTACTTGTCAAGTGGAATTAGATTAATTAAAAATTAATAATCCCTATGCTAAAGTATGCATGTAGCCAATTAGCTTGCACCAAAAATCCCCATGAAAAAGCAGACCTTGACACAGTTAGTAGTAGCCAAGACAACCCACAGCATGAGTTACATATGAAAACAGTATTGTAAAGTAAGTGAAAACCAGTTTTCAGCATACTGTTTAAGCAAAGCAAAAAACGTTTGCTTCCTCTCATACAAACACAGTATTTTAGGCAGTTCTTCCCTTACATAAGTCATCACAAAGTGCAAAACAAGGTACAAAGACACAGAACGAGCTTCGTTATAATAATTGCCATGATGTGTAACAGGAAATAAAAGTTGAACACTGGCTTAAAATATTTATCCAGCTATTTAAAACAAAATTCCCACATGAAAACCACTGACAATTCTGAAATGATCAAGGGAAAATAATCCTGGAGGAAATTATAATTTCCATCAAATAAGAACATGAACTTTAAGATCATAAATTTACAAGTAACATGACCCAAATATCCTTAGGTCAGCTTTCACTACCATCATAAACTTAAAGAAGATCTGCTTGTACAAAACGTGGAAAGGATTATCCCAAAAGTGATCTCAGTACATCCATTCTTAAATTTCTTATTCAGTGACTACACAAATGGTCTTTTTTCCTAGGTAGGTAGATTTAAACTCCATGTTCCGTTTATACCTTTTTCAGTCTCCCAAAACACAGATGAAACAAGACTATTCCTAAAACCCTGTAGCACTGTTTTTTCACACTCTTCAGCTTTGTTCTGCCAAACCTTGTTCTCTCTAAATGGTCTACAAAGTTATTCAAAAAGACAGCTATTTCTGACAGCTGCCACACTGCAACAGAGAATCGTTATCCTCCTACCTTGCAAACCTGTGCAACTGCCAGACATGACCTGATTCTTTTGCAAATTTTGTGGACACATCTGTTTGTGTAGCCTTTTTTCAATTAACTGTACTATAAATTCCTCAGGTCTCAGATGACCCAGCCAGAACCTTCTTTATCCTCTGTCATTAATGGTTTTACCATTCCTCTGTGAAATGCTAATGAAGAACATTACGTCCTGTCAAGGGCATCCAGATACCACAAAGATGGGAGCCTTATGAATATATTTAATATTGGTATGGCAAAAAAATATGATCTGACTGATTTAAACAAAGTTTAGGAAGCAGTCTGTGCCTGCATTTTTGGATGCCAACTGTTAGTTAACATTGTGGTTGATTCATAAACTGTGAAACAAGGTGTTTTAAATTGTAATATTGAAGATAACACCTTAATTAGAGCCCCATGAATTAAACTGTATACAAGTTAAATAAAGGAAACTTAATATTTAAATACACTTCAAAAAAGTGGGCAATAGTCCATGTTGCAATGCCAGCAGGTGAAGGACCTTCACCCTGAAGCAAATGCATCACCTGCACAACAGGAACAGCTCTTGGGTGTCTGATGGGTGTGGAATCTTTACTTGCATTCTCCACCCAGTCACCCCCACCTGGGGCTACACCATGTGCTGCTGCCATGTAGTCGGGATGGCATAAAATTAACATGCACAGCACCTATATATTAAGCAAAACAGCCACAGTTTCATCCTGAATTCATATTGCCTGAAGCTAGAAGACAGATTCAATCACACTGCTAATTAAAGGCCAGTACGTCACAGGTCAAGTGCCCCTGTGAAAATCAGAGTTTATGTTGCAAGGTTACTCCAGGATAAATTCAGGTAAATTGCTCGTACATATTGGTTTCACACTGCAATTTTATTCACAGGTGAAAATGTTTGAACTGAACTTTGGCATGTATATACAGCTGTAAAGAGATGCTATTATTCAGCTCATTATATTCAGTCACCATTCTTAACAGTAGAATTGTTCTTTTCTTGTGAATTTTCATAGCTTCTCACCGAAAAGAAACATTAAGAAATAGATCTTGACTAACCTGCTTGTTTTCATTCTGATGAGCCTGAAGGAAGAGCTCTGTAAACATCTGTATTATGGTCATAACTTCTGGAGTTCCATCAGTTTCCAGCAGTGCATTCCTAAGCATTGAAATGTTAGATTATGACAGATCAGATAATATTATTCAATTACATATTCAAAAAACTACACAAAGAGACTGAACTTAGATAATACGGCTACTGTTCAGTCACTGTGACTCCTTAGTGATCATTCAATCAGAAGCACGAACAGAAATAAGCGTACACCAAATCAGTAATCGCTACAGATTTGATTAGGGACCAATGCATTCAAATGTGCTTTCAATGGTGAAACCATAAAATCCACTCTGGAGGTTCAGGAAAGTGAACGCTTTAACTGGCCTTCCATAGGGAAAAATGTAACCTTGAGCAAATGGAGCAGAAAAATATATGGGCAGCAAAGCGTAATTTTCATTCTCTTATTTGAAAGACATGTAATAGTAAGGAGAAAAAATGTTCACAGTAAGCTCCCACTAAGATATAAGTTTTTTATTAGAGAATTGTTTTGTTCCTTCTGTAATGATCTATAAGATAAGAACAGCTAACATTACTGTAACAGGGAAATTTCACAAAACTACAAGCACATAGAATCGCTAATGTAAACACAAGAAATAGTGCGCAGAAATTCAAGACATTCTAGGTATGTGGACTTCTGTATAGCCACACACAGCAACAAAACAAGTTTCTACTTGGGAAATAAAAATAAAAGTTAATATCCTTGAGATAAAACAATTTAGCACAATCAACCTCAATAAAAAGCATGCAAATAGCAGGAAAAGTTATTCCTGAAAGAGACGCAATGCTTAGATCTGTGCTTCTAACAGAGTATCAACCCCCAAAATAAAAGGACTTTTCTGCCAGGTGTAGAAACATAATACAGTTTCCAAACAATGAAGTACAAGTTCTTTATCAGCAGCGCTCTATAATCTCACATGTGACTACATCTAGAATAGGATCTTAACGTCTGCATACCACTTGATAATAGTTGGAAGGATGTCAGAAAAATACAACAAAGATGAACACAAAGCCACAGAAACCAACTGGTCTGCAAAAGCTAGCTAACATATATAGCTTCACTTAATACCAAGAAGACCTGAAACATAGTACTTTTAAAACGTATTAAGGGTTTAATATCAACAAGATAGAGGAACAAGCATACTAAGTAGAAACAATGGAAAGGAAACAAGGGAGCAGAAATGCAGGCTGAGCAACAGGAATTTCTAAGACAATTTGGAACATTAATAAAAGTGCCAAGTTTTATCAGGAAACACTCTGCCGGACAAAGTCTGGCATTATCTGAGAAAGAAGCATCTCATTAATTTCTACTGTCTACCAAATGGAAAGGGTGCAAAACAGTTATGTAGTCTTGTGTTATTTTTAGAAAGCATTTTATATACCATGGCCCTAAATAAGCCAAGAAGGTTGAACAAATTTTGTCTCCCTGTACCATCACAATATACAACCTCCAGCCTAAGACATCAGTACAGGTCTGTTGAAGTCACATCAATTTTCAAGTGCATTTTGCTTTGGGAAAGTGACTGGTCTCAACTATTCAGAAAATGCTAGCTGTGCTCAGACAGTGGACCACAGCAACAGAAAGGACTGCCATAGCAATAGCTGCTGAGTGGTTCCACTCCCACAATACAGCAGTCCACACTTTCTACAGCAAAGACTCTTCTGTAAGCGCCTGCACAAACCTAAACATGCGCACAGACACACAAATGCCCCCAAACACCTGCACCTGGGAGCCCTTTCTTCTTGAAAAGGAAAACACTTGATGAACAAAGAATATCAGTCACTAAATACATTATTGTTGTAGCAAAACTGTAATACCGATAACCCCAGCAGTAGATCTACTTTAAAAGAATGATAAAATAGTAAGTCAAGTGAAGTGAAAAAGCCACTGAAAACTGAGGACAAAGGACTGGAAGCCCCCATGTGGTAAACACTATATATTGCTTCAAAATAATCTTCATGCATTCAAAACCAAACTCATTATTAACAGGCAGATCAATAGTTTAATGCCATTAAGAGCACATGTGATACCAATCCTGAAGACTACTAACATAATGTAAAAGAGGCTATGCTAGTAAGTGCAAATGTTTTAGCTAAATTCCATCTTCATGCTGGCATGGGCCAAGCCATTTCAGCACTTAAAATTTTCACCTCAAAATCACATTTCAATCACAAATCTCTGCTGAATTACAAAATAAATTATAATTTTTAAAGGGGAAAATACAATTTAGTCAACTATATCAATGATTATTATAATGTAACTTTTATGTAAAGTTCACAGGATTTGTAATATTTTTCATTACTTGCATTATATTACCCAGAAGGGGACACTAAGGCATACAGCTAAAGAAAGACATCCTGAAATTATAATTTCCCAAATATAATCCCAAATTATTGTACTCCTCCTTCTCATGAGGAAAACCTCAATGTATAAACTGATCATTTGAAACACTTCTCAATATAATTTCAAAACTTACTTGAAAATTTCATTAACAATTCTGAAAATGGCAGGATGGGTTGCTGCTTGTGGCTGTTGAAAAACAAATGAAAGAACATTAGTCATTAATAAGAACAACGGCCATTGAAAAATTGACAGCTTAACTCATGGGTGGTAACTGAAATTATTAAACTGTAAATCTCGGATCTACTCTTTCTAAATTCTCAGATTTTCTCAGGATTAGGTTCTTCAAAATAACTAACATCAAAGTCATGGAAGGATATCCAGAGCAACATCAAGCAGGCTAAACAGCTGATAAATGCAAACACCTGGGATCCCAAACTGTTTATGACAATGACCACTAAAAATACTAAAGGTGGCAGATAGAAAGAACAGGTTGTTGCATGCAAGAGACAGGGAGCAAATTTTTCTTCCTCTTCACAGACAATCCCTTTTGGATGTGCTTTGAGATTCTTGCTACATTTTCAAAATTAAATTCCAGAAATTAAATTTATTTTATCACCTTTGTGATCACCTTTTGGTCCAAGACATTTTTTCACAGTCTTATCTTCTTCTGTGAATTTCAGAGTTGCTAGTGCAAGCTAAATATCTCAGTGCATCAAAATGTATTTTTTTTAAAACCAGTGAGGATTTTTATCATGCTACCACACAAAAGACTGTTTTAAGAAACTTGTTATATTAAAAATGCACTAGTAAACACACTACTTTCTAATCCCATATTCTGAATTCTATGGTTTATTAGGCTTTTATAGAGCACCACAAATAAGTAACTACTTACACATTCCCACATTCCTACTTACACAAAGTATATTTGCCTAAGTTAAAAAGCAAACTCATGCTTTGTGTTTCTGAAGTTACCACCTTAAGATTTGATGAGAATACAGTTCTTGAACAATCTAGAGCAATACATGTTTAATAAAATGCCTTCTATAAACTTCAGGATGCATGGAAGGAATGACGTTTATAAATGGCATTTAGCGTAACAGCTTTAAGTGTCTGACGCTCTATTCCAAAGAAAACTTCTATGCATTTGTTTCAAGCTAAAAAGTACCAAGTAGAATTTTCTTTTTAATTTCACACAGGCAGAATACTCTATATGATCCCTATATGATAATCTCAGAAAGTAAAGAGACAACCTTTCATACAAACTGTCTAGAAAAGCTCCTTGTTGCTCACAGTTGTCTTTGCCATACTAGAAATACTAGGTGGCACCTCATTTTCATGTTTTAATCACCCTTTGACACAGGGCTGTAGCTAAGTTGTCCTGTTGAACGTGTGCCATCTAGTGTTCAAGAGTATTTACAGCTGGTTGTTCGAAAGTGTGAAGAACAGCATGCAGCTTGTTGCAAGGCTGGTCTGCAAACTTCCACTGCTAGAGGGAGAAAAAAAACCTGGCTGGATAAGACAAAACCAGAGGCAGGAGCATCTCTCTTTTTTTAAAAGGAAAACTTGGACTAGACAATCTCCAAAGGCGCCTTCCAACCCCAATCATTCTGCAATTCTGTGAAAACAGCAGAAAGTGAGAAATATGTTTTTCAGTCCTCTGGGCTAAATGGTTGAATTCAGCCATTTCTCCACTGTTTTTTCAGATACTCTACCTACCTTTGCACACATACTTCTATGATGATGTGCCAACCCACTGTTGCTTAATACAGGTTGAGTATAAACTAGAAAGGGTCCCTCAGCACATTGCCACACATATCAAGATCAAATCATAGTTCTTTTGAGCAAGACCAAAATAAATGCGCTGTATGCAACAGTGAAAACCTCTCCACCCTTTCCTGCCAGACAGCAGCAATCTACAGTACTCACTACCAGAAATCACAGTTAATAGCTCCCAGTATTTAACCTACACTACTGAAATCAATGCAAATTTCATCACTGGTATTCAAAAGGGAAAACAAAAAAAAAAAAACCCAAACCCCACCACTGTTACCTAATTCCACAAGATTTTGGTCAGTGGACTGCATAGAATTAATTTGCATGCATTCAAAGTAAGAATGCTACCATAGTGCAAAAGTCTCCAAGGCAATTTGAAGATGTGCCTGTTGTGTAGCAGGACTAGAGCAGACAGCACAATTCTGCTGCAGCCAGCAGCAATTCTGGAGTTTGGGAGGGAGTATCAATTTCAGGAGGGATTCTCATAGGGTTTTGATGTTGTTGACATTATCTCCTTATATTTTCAAAATAAAAAGGCATTTTACATTTTAATAATCTTGTCTGTGACTGTGCAATAATTTTCACAGAAAGCTCAGAAATCCAAACATGCTGTCTGTCTACCAGGAGCTTGTTCCATCACCTTTAAAACATCCACAATGCATACGGCACAACACACACTGAACGAAAAAGATCCAAACACAGGGAACTGAAGCTGCATATGTGATATCATGATTACATATTTTAAGAATATGTGCCTCTTCAGAAAAAAAACCCACACAAAACCACTAGGATTTTTGAAAGAAATAAAATAGGAAAAATATACTGTAACATAAAGCATTAGACAAGTTCTATAGAACTACACTACTTTTGTTTCTGTATTATCAGAAAAAAGAATCCTAAACAACTAGTTTATAATACAAAGCCAGAACTGAATAAAGAAATCAGAAAAATACATTTGTATCTACAGGATGCAAGTAAATGGCACAAAGAGGAACAGACTAATAATCATACACTGCGTTTTATTCACATCATAGAATGCTCTGTAAAAACTGCAAGAGTAAACATATGGAAACAAATTGTGCCCAAGATCACGCAGCAACAGATTTGAGGTGGTAACCTGCAAATACCAGTTCTCTTGACTTCCAGACTCACATACAATTAATTGGACACAACACTTCCACTGTAACACATCTAGCTTTAAGAAACTACTACACTGCTGTACTTCAAATGTTGTATTTCCAAATTGTATATTTACCTGTATTCCTGAATTTTACATTTACCAATTAAACATGAGAAATGTCACTTAATTTTTTTCTTATACCAAGTGCTGACTGTAGTTTTATTTTGAAGCATATGCTTATTTTGAAAGCACAAACATTTTTTTACAGAGGTTTAAAAAGCTCCTGAATTCATCAACATTATGAACAAATTAGCGTGCACTATTTCAAAAATTTTACCATAGCAACACAGGTTTTGAATACAGGCAATTCCAAGGGAACTAATTGTAACTTAGCTGGGATGTATTACAACAAGAAAAAAAGCTTCTCGTTTTCTCTCTGTCCTTCCTCCTTTCTCCCTTATTAATGCCTATTTCATTGGCACAGCTCCCAATGAAAGGTGAGCGTGGATCTAGCTAGACTCAAAACTTGGGGATAAGGCATAGCAAGAGGGCAATGCAAGGGCACAGGAACCAGAGCAGTCTCCAGCTTGGTATCCTGTCAGGCAATACAAGAGTCTACATATCACCCACTAAAACTGTATTTCCTCTGTAATGCTGAAGTGAAAATAACACCAAGTGAGACCCCACAGCTAGAGCTTTGACTGCAGAGCACAACATAATTTCAATTCTGGGCTAGACTTGGGAAAGCTGACAAGGTAGAAAAACAAAACGCAGCTGATGGTTTATAAAGGAGAAGCCAACAAATTTGAAGCCCTCTCAACCTACTGCACTTTTTTTGCAATGTAACTCTGAAAGAAGTAAAACTACTTTGGAAAGCTATCTAAGAACTAAACACAAACTATAACTGGCACTGATGCATTCATATTTCTTTTTGCATGCTTTACATGCTTTAAAAATCTGTTTATATACATATCCATGCATTTCTTGTAAAGCATAAATTCTGATATGTGTATCTATTTAAATTTTAGTTGTTAACACACATATACAAACCCTAAAGTTACTGCAGGAAGGAATACATCCACTCACCCACCAAATTTTGAAGAAGCTAAAAGATCGTTTGTGATGGTCACTTAATTTGTTTATTACTTCTGAATGACTGTAGAATTTCCAATATTAATTCCAGTTTAGCCCCCAAACTACAAACCTAATAGCATGCCATATAAAACACAAGTTAGTGGACCACCACACTACAGTTACTCTTGGAATTAAAATATAAGAGTATTGCATATCAAGTTTCTTTCATAATAGAAGTACGGTGGTTTACAACTATCTGGGTACCATAGATCTCTATGAGGGTTATGTACAGTTTGGTTGCTTTATCAAGATATTTTGTTTAGATAAATAACTCTGATAATGCAATTATGAATGAGCTTATTGAAATTTCCTTCTTATCATGTACTACAATCAAATCACTTACCTATTTCTGCCTATTTGTACTCTAGGTTTTCTTCCAAACAGAAAAAAATGTATAAATCAAGTTTTGTCTCATGATTCCACTTTTTATTATATCCATAAGGCAAACAGAGGTCACATGCTACAAATACCATAATACAACTGCCAAAAATGCATACCCATATTCCTAAAGAAATATTCAAATGTCTTTCAGGCAGGCTAAATTAATCATACTGTTGGATTGAAAGTGCTGACTGATCTAACGTCACATCAGTATCTTTATAGTACTGTGGTACAAAGTATCATTAAGTATTTTAGAACACAAATTCTGGATCAAATATTTTTGTTCTATACTGCCTCTCTGAAGCTTCTCATCCTGTTGTTTTTAATTGGTATTCCATCTCCCATTTATGCACCCTCCCTCTTATCAATGCCTATCAGCAATATCCATCTTCCAGCTGCTTTCTTCTTTATGCCTCCCTTCATTCCACTCCTTGTCCACAGGATGTCCTCTCTAAACCAGCATTCAAAGCTGTTGCACTGGTCTTTCTACTCTGTGAGTGTCTTGCTTTGAAAGCACAAAGTCTCTGGAGGAGAGGCAAGTAAGAACCACCTAAGCGTGCTAGCACAGTAATGTTCCATTTTTTTCAGGGATCAGGATGTGAAGACAAAGTAAATGTGAACATTGTTAATAAACAACAATAAACCAATAATTAAACCAAAGATTTTACTTCTTTTTATATATAACCTAGATATTTTTTATTTTTTCCTCAGCCATCTGTGGTACTATATACTGTATTCAACTCACAGTGTATCTGATACAGAAAAATTAGGCACAGGCCTTGTATATAGCCTTGCCTTCTGGAATACCTAGATGCCCAGACGACATATGAAGTGCTGTTGACGCCAAGCACTTGTAAGATTTGCAAGTATGATAATGGATCCCTAGAATAAATTTGCAGATTCAATTAAAAAGGAAAAACATTTAAAGATATCATTCTTTTCCTATCTAAAATACATATTCTGTAAGCAGTTTCATGGGCTGAAAATAAGGTACCACGTGCTATTTTTTAGTTCTCTTCATTTTATGAAATACATCATTTAAGTACATAGCTCACATGCTATTTCACACTGTAATTAACAATTAAATTTACACTTAGTGTGGCAAACTAGCTCATTATTTTGGAAAAGGTATTGTGTCATGTTTTCTCATAGGGAAGATTTTTGGTGCACTGCGTAACACAGCATTTGAAAACAAACTTTAATTACAATTTAGCAAATATTTTGTATTAAGAATTTTGTTCAGTTTTGCAAACAAAACCAAGTAATTAAGCAGTCCATAATAAAACAGTCTACAAGGAATTTCAATTGTTTAAACTGCTAAACTCCTAAGGGTACAGAGATTGACGTAAAAACAGATTCAAATCCTCCCTGGCCAAAGTTTATAATTTTTTAAGACAGAGCAGGTACTCAGCATCCCCACCAGTCAGATTATCGCCTCTTCACCCATTCTTCATCACTGGATTAAATCTATTTTCTCTTCTGCCAATTCAGTGTAACAACTAAAAATTTAGTGACATTTGTAAGACTCAAGATTTGCCTTTGCATTAGCAAGTTATATGCCACATGACAGCCATTTCCTTCAAAGATGCTAACGTATTTGAAAACTCTGTCACTTCTGAAGCATTGAAAGAGCAGTATCAAATGTACTACATGTTGCACATACCAGTAACGAATCTTTTATGACACAAGCCACTTCTTCCAGTGAATTCAACTGAATGGAAACCAGCTGGTCTAAAAGATACAATGTAGCTTTTTCAAGGCTTGGTAAGTGACGAAGCCAGAGGCTGAAGATAGCTGATTCAGGGAGGGAAATCTTCTTCCTGGTTTAGAGAGAAAAATACTGTTTTCCTTGAGAGACTGGAAGGAAGACAAAAATGTACCTTTTTTTTTTTAGAAAAAAGCATGTTGGGGAAAAAGAAGACACTAAGATCAGCCATCAGCAAGAAGGAGAAAATCTTGTTAACAGTACTCTGTTCAATATCAAATAATAATGGCAAAGAATAACAGGGAATCACCATCATCTACAAATGAAACCTTACCACATGTCTTTAAAACTGTAAAATTTGGTTATGATGGATCCCAGCAAATGGAAACGGAAGGTTTAAGTCTGGAGTTCCCTTCCTCTCTAGAGAAAGGTCCTGCCCCACACTTGCGCTCCTCCAAACCCAGACGACCGGTCTGCTGAGAAAGTGTCAGCAGCTGACAGATAAGCAAGAAGGTCCTGGATAATGTTACTGCTGGCTAACTCAAAGTATTACCTGTCTTTGCAGAGAAATAAGAAAAAAACCCCAAAACCGAGGCAGAGGTAGGTAAGTCTTCAGCCTACCAACACTGACCAGAACCTTTTAAAACATAAATGGTTAAGAAGGTAGTTATCTCTTCACCTAAAGCTTTCAGCTACAGTTCAGCTGAACTATAGTATTGTATCACTAGGAAATAAAAGGCACTGCTTATTTTGAGACAGCACTGTAATTTGCGTGCACCAGCACAAACCAAAATATACTAAAAGTAACCACCCATGAAGAAGAGATGTCACAGCACAAAACACCCTGCAGTATTTTTGCAGCTATCATGATAGTTGCAAATTAAAAGGTTAAAAACAAACAAAAAAAACCCCCATAAATAGCAAGAAATATGTGCCTTGGCCTTAAATCAAGTTAAGATTCAAAAAACCTAAAATTAGACTGGAGAGTACATGCAAACTAAAGCTACTGAAAAAGAAGAAAAATATCAGCAGAAAGAAAGATTTAACACCATTTTAGGATCTGTTTTCAACGTATGTATTTTAGCATAAATTCGTTTAAATATCAGCCTTCAGAATTCTGATTTTGATTGAAAAGCTGTATTTTTTCCATTCAAAGCTATCATAGAATCATAGAATCATTTAGGTCGAAAAAGACCTTTAGGATCATCAAGTCCAACCATGAACCTAACACTACCAAGACCACCACTAAACTAATTAAGGGCAGAGTAATAATTAATTTCATGTTTCCTCGCTTGGTGGATGGATTATTTTTTAATGAGAGTAAAACAAAACCAGAATCATTAAGGTTGGAAAGGATCTCTAAGATCATCATTCCAACCATCAACCCAACACCACCATGCCCACTAAACCATGTCCCAAAGTGCCACATCTACCCGTTTTTTGAACGCTTCCAGGGATGGTGACTCCACCACCCCTCTGGGCAGCCTGTTCCAATTCTTGACCACCCTTTCCATGAAGAAATTTTTCCTAATATCCAATCTAAACTTCCCCTGATGCAACCTGAAGACATTTCCTCTCATCGCTAGTTACATGGGAGAAGAGCCCAACACCCACCTCACTACAACCTCCTTTCAGGGAGTCGTACAGAGCAATAAGGTCTCCCCTCAGCCTCCTTTTCTCCAGACTAAACAACCCCAATTCCCTCAGCCACTCCTCATAAGGCCTGTGCTCCAGACCCTTCACCAGCCTTGTTGCCCTTCTCTGGACACGCTCCAGCACCTCAATGTCTTTCTTGTATTGAGGGGCCCAAAACTGGACACAGTATTCCAGGTGCGGCCTCACCAGCGCCGAGTACAGGGGGACAATCACCTCCCTGCTCCTGCTGGTCACACTCTTCCTGATACAAGCCAGGATGCTGTTGGCCTTCTTGGCCACCTGGGCACACTGCTGGCTCATGTTCAGCCGGCTGTCGACCAACGCCCCTAGGTCCTTTTCGGCCAGGCAGCTTTCCAGCCACTCTTCCCCAAGCCTGCAGCGTTGCATGGTGTTGTTGTGACTGAAGTGCAGGACCTGGCACTTGGCTTTGTTCAGGCCATTAACTATGTAATACCCTAATTTAAAAGTGTACATCTGTCGACAAGAAATATATTGAAGTACATAAAATTTCAAAATTGTAAAGCAATGCTCAATTTCAAGATGCTGTTTAATTAAGTATCACTGTTAAAGCACATATGCCCATCAAAGTCAATTAAGAATGACAAGAAATTATTTAATTTTGCCACAATCCTCCTTTTTCTTGTTTTTCTGGTAGCATGGCAGTTATTATTATGCTAGGAAAAGAAATCTAATAAGCTTACATAGAGGTGTTCCAACTCTGAGATTTGAAAACCATATAGGAAGTAAACTGTAGTCATTATCCTTCTGCACCTGAACTTGCAGACGGACCCACTGGGACAGTGCTGAATTCTGTGGAGCACTGCGACTCCCAGTATTTAGTAGCCCTATTTCCCAGAGCAGGCTTCACCCGTGTTCAGAAGGAAAACAAGTGTTCAGAACACAATGACAGAGTTAGAGAACACTGAATTCAATTGTTAAAAGTGGGGAAAAAAAAAATACAAGTACATTCAAGTTAAGATCACCTGACATTCAGTGACAGGCCAGGAGTATACCATGCAAAGCACATATGAGCCTACATCTGTTCTCAGGGAAACCATACACTTTTGTCAAGGGCCCTGCAAGACTCACTTACTCGAGACATATGAAATGAATTATCTTTGCTCACTGTGGTAAACAAGTAGTTTAAAAGTTAAGCAAAGGGATGTTTATTTCAGTCAGAAGAACCTTTTATGACCATCTAAAGGATTCAGATTCACATTATGAAGTGGCAAAAGTATGTCATGATGGACTGCCCACTGGCTCACTGACATCAGTATAGACCTTCCATGCTGAACCTGTGAACTTGCTCTGAAAGTTTTCCAAACTCCATTACTTCTTGTGGAACATGTCCAGTCTGAAGCCACGGAAGATGGACAAGTGAAAGATAGCTCTCTTTTTTGGGACACATCTTTCACTACAGACCTTCACATTCCTTTGTCACTTATTTTCCTCAGCTTCTAGTTACATGTGTACAAATTAGTAATTGTGCTTTTCCATTAATTATTTACTTCTGCTGGAGCCCTCAATGGAGCAATATAACAATCTTCACTGCAACATCTAAGAAATTATGATGCTGGGTATAGAGGACGCAATTAAAACTTTGATTAAAAAGGAGACAAAGGGTTAACTGAGGTGAAGTGTTCACAAAGGATCTTTTCTAGTATAAAAGTAATTGTTTATAATACAGTCCCTCAGCTACAACTTGAATAAAGCCACTCTCAACCAAAAGTAGGCTGTGGTTTCCCTGACATCTTTCCTTCCCTCGGGTAGCCAATCTTGTTGATGTTCAGCTTCACTCAGCTCGTTTTCATTCATAGACTGATTATATCAAAACCATGGTTTTAGTGGCAGCAAAACAAGCAAAGTTATATTTCACAAATTGCTCCTATCGGACTCATTAAAAATAATCTGCTGAAAAACAGGAGAATTTAAAATCTTGAGAACTAATTTCACCAAAAAAAAAAAAAGAGAGAGAGAAATATGGAACCACTCAAACATAAGGATCTATCTTGTGCACAGAAAAATAAAGATGTCTCCCAGACATTAAGCTGGGAATGTTGATACCCCTATGAAAGGTAAATAACATTTCTATGAAAAATGATCATATCTTTCACAAAATTCGTAAAATCTACTGAAGACTTTAACCTCCGTTTTAGAAAAAGGGTGGGGAAAAGTTCCAGTCAATATTTAAAGCTGTTATGCCGTAATTTGTGCATCAGCAATTTAAAATTCTGCTTTTGTCTACAACCTGAAGTCTGCTATTCAACTGCAAGAGAAATATTTTACTAGAATGCAGATGTACAGTGCATTCAGCATACAAAGCCAGAGAAAAGACGTTTAATTGCATTAATAATCTTTATGAAAAGAGCATAACAATCATACAGACCATGATACTTACTTTAAAAATGCCTCATTCACAGCCTCCAGAAACTCTGAACTGAGAATTTCTCTTGATGCACCTCCATGGTAAAGAAGGAGAGTTTCCAGCAATGGAGTTAGATCAGGCAAAGTAACAAGAGGGAGACAGAAAAGGGACACAGCATTCACACGACTGGCTGGAACTCTGAGGGAAAAATACATACAGTTTGTATTTCAGAAAAGTCAAAACTTTAATTTCTAAACTGATCAGGTAAAAGAAGATTAAATTAATTACAGAAGGTTAAATGTAAGAGATGCATACCTAACTGCAAAAAAATTATTTATTGGAATGACTGTTGACATGTCATTACATATTGTCTGAAGACTCTTAAGAAGTCAGGTAAAATTTTGATATTGTAGTGCCACGATATCAGTCCAATTCTGAAGTGCAGCCAGTTGTTTTCCCTCAGTAATCACACCCTTCCTAGTAGGGAATGCTTTGTCTTTCCCAGGATCAGTGAAGCACAGGTAAGGAAGACTGCAGATTCACAGCTCCCATGTAGGTTTGCTAGCCCCTCACAAGAGACCACCTAGTTGCTTTTAAGGCCTCCTGTTGTTTCCTTGACCTCTGTCCTCTCAACACAGACAACTTCTATGAAAAAAACAATACGAAACCTATTGTATTCAAATGCTCAGCTGAAAAATTTTTGTCTTGCAGATCTACAGCTGAAGGAGTATGTAGCACTTTTGGATCTTAACATATGAACCACTCACTTGTCCTGCTCGCTAAAACTACATGCTTGGAAATAATTGAAGACAGGGGAACCTTTGGAACATAAACAAAACATGGAACCTTTGGAACATAAACAAAAAGGAAAATGGCACACAATATAAGAAATAACAATTGCAAAAGAAAATCACAAGTTTCCCAGGGTATATACAGTTTCTAGCACATGAAACTGCAGATTTTTCTAGATGCAGTTTTGACAGGAAGACATTTATGAAGACCAAGAATTCCAAAATATGGAATTCTAGCAAATCAACAAGTGCTAGATTGTTTGTAAAAGGCTTCCTTGAGTTGCTGCAAGTTTATCTTGATTGCATTGTTCACTAGAAGGGGTGCATTTTTTTTCAAGAACCCAGAGCTGTTTTCTCTGGGGAGCCACCAGTACACTCTGTGAAGAGCTGAGACAGGAATTACACTACAGGCTGCTTTGAGTAAGAGCTAACTCTATTGCCCTGCATGTATTAAAGCTACTCCCAAACAGATGTTGCCTAATGATCACTGGCATATGCTGTGACAGAAGTGCTATGATTTGTGGATACGGGGTACCATTGTGGTTTCCACAATGAGAGAAATAAAACATGGCACATTTTCAAAGACTCGAATTTCTGAGTAAGTACCTAACCAAATACGTGTTTAAGGTTTCCTACACTGAAATACTTAGAGATGCAGTTTTACTATGAAAAATGTTTCTGTAGGAATGGTAATTATTGGGCTGATATTTATTGTGCAGTTGTGTTTCTCGGGATATACATGTAAAGTTCACAGACCTGAGACTCTTTAAATCAGTCCCTTTCACAAAATTCTATTTCCAATTCCTTACCCAGGATTAGCAAACTTTAGCAGTTTACTTTACTCTTACTTTTAACTTTGGAAGAAAAACCCTGCAAAGGCAATTTTCTTCTTCCTCTATATAATCTTCAAAATATGTTCTTGGAGAATACCGCACAGTGCATTCCACTGTGTGCAATTAATTTACACAGACATTGTCATCTGTGTTGCTGTAAGCATCACTGAATGGAGAAATAAGACAATGTACACCTCTAACTGCAAGCTACATTTGTCTCTGCAACTTGAAAAACCAGCCACATCATAATTTCTACACTCAAAAATCCACCTAAGTTCAAAATTTTCCTTTTTTCCTGGTACCAATCAGGCATTTCTCTTCCCAACAGTCTCATCAGCTTTTCAGCTAAGTGTGCTTCACCCTACTTTATAAAACATGTGTGTTTGTTCTCTACCTTGAACAAAACTTTGTGATACTCCTCACTAACTGTGTCCATGATTTTGGTACTAAAGTCAGCTCTAAGTTAATTCAGCTCATCTACTCTTCCTTACAAAAACACCTATGTGCAAGAAGGAAAGCAGAAAAATAGCCAGGCTATTAGCTCATGATGTAAGAAAGATACTTCAATCAGCCTCCTCTTTCCTGTAACTTTACAGGCTATGTGGTGTTAAATATGTGGTCATCATATCAGCAGTTTTGACTCTGAAGACCAATAGAATATGCACAGGAGAGTCATACATTTAAAAGAGAAGACACAATTTCAGTATATAGTCTATATTAAAAATATCTACCCTTATTTTTGCTTTTGTTTTTTAGCTGGAATACACTTAATTTACATGCGATCAAAAGGATCTACTGACATACTCAAATACAATAATTTTTAAAGTATCAACAAAAGACTATGATCTGCATTTCAAGATCAGTGGAAAGGCACAGATTACACAGTGAAAAGGCACAATCATGTCAAAAATAGTGACAACAGTAGCATTAGGCAAACGTATTCCCTTTTTTATGGTCAGAGATTTTGGCTTAATTCACTGTATTTCTGTCGTATGGATGGATGAAGAAGGTGATTATTCTCACTGACTACACATAGACATGTAGAAACACCCCACACAATGTTGCAAGCGATTATTAGCATCTCCTGATAATCTGGATTGGAGATCTGACCAGAACACATTGCAATTTCCTTCCCACCCACTTTCTCAGACTTTCATCCTTAGAAAACCAGGCCAAAGAATCAGTTAAAGGGTGGAAATACTATGTGCTTGGGTACATTTAAAATAGTTGTATATGAAACACACAGTATTGCCACAGTACTGTTTGTTACCACATCATGGAACTTAATGGAAGGAAAATGAGAGATTCTTTAAATAAGCATGGACGAATTTTATCATTAATAACAACTGCAAAGTAACTACTATTCTCTCATATTAAACTATCACTCACACAAACAGGGAAAAAATTTCCTTTGGAAAGATTTTTTTGCTTTTTCTTATAGTAACTGCCATTTAACTTTGGTTATAAGGATGCATATAGCAGACAACATTATGATTATGAAGTTCATGAGGTTCAACAGGGCCAAGTACAAGGTCCTGCACCTGGATTGGGGAAAACCCCAGTATCAGTACAGACTGGGGGATGAATGGATTTAGAGCAGTCCTGCAGAGAAGGACTTGGGGATACTAGTAGATGAAAAAATTACATATGAGCCAGCAATGCATGCTCACAGGCCAGAAAGCCAACTGTATCCCGGGCTGCATCAAAAGAAGCATGGCCAGCAGTTTGAGGGAGGGGATTCTGCCTCCCTACTCCACCCTTGTGAGACTCTGCCTGGAGTACTGCGTCCAGCTTCGGGGTCCCCAGCACATGAAAGACATGGGCTTGTTGGAGCGAGTCCAGAGAAGGGCCATGAATTAAGATCAGAGGGCTGGAGCACCTCTCCTATGAAGAAAGGCTGAGAGAGTTGGGGTTGTTCAGCCTGGAGAAGAGAAGGCTCTGGAGAGGTCTTACGGCAGCCTTTCAATACATAAAGGGATTTTATAAGAAAGACAGAGAGACCTTTTCACCAGGGCCTGTAGTGACAGGACAAGGGGCAATGGTTTTAAACTGAAAGAGGGTAGATTTAGGTAGGTTATAAGGAAGAAATTCTTTACAATGAGGGTGGTGAGACACAAACAGGTTGCCCAGAGAAGTTCTGGATGCCCCATCCTTGGAAGTGTTCAAGGTCAGGTTGGATGGGGCTTTTGAGCAACCTGGTCTAGTGAAAGATGTCCCTGCCCATGGCAGGGGTGTTGGACTAGATGAACTTTGAAGGTGCCTTCCAACCCAAACCATTCTATGACTCTCAGTTTAAGTATAAAAAACTCTTGTGGGAAGCACAACTTAACAAGCTTGTCCACACTTGAAATTATCTACACATATATCCAAAACTTTCCAACTGAAGCCTAAGTTGCCCAAGACTGTAAAAAGGTCTTCACTGAACTGTCATGATCCAAACTAAAACATATGAAAATTATGTTTAGGTAATACCTACCTCCCCTGAATATTAAAACCATTGAGCTGATTTCCTCTGAGTTCTGTTACTAATGAAAAGACCATCTGTTAAATAAAATAAAATAAAATAAAATGAAGTAAAATAAAATAAAACAAATCACACACACTGCAAATAAGCAGACATTAGTTGCATGGTTCTCTGTGTGACTGGCATACTGTAGAGATTAATAACTTTCTCTATTCACTCAGTTTGATTTTTAAATTTTTTAATTATTGGTGCCAAATTAAAGCTGTCCAGATCACTGAATAAACTATGCTGCAAAACATTTTTTGAACACACATTATATACCTTCCACATCTGAAAACTAAGCAGCTGTTTATTTTAGCTCTGCTTCCCCAAGAGTTGAGGTAAAACTTTCAGAAGAGCATTATTAATAATTGAATGTGCTTTATCTAATTTAAGTCAACATATTATGAAATATTATTCCCATTATTTTTATATATTAAATGTAAAAGGCACTTTTCCTAAGATTTAGGGCTCATCTACCATTTTAAATGCAGTGCATACAGTCAAAGAAAACATTCAAAAAGTTATGTTCTAATACACAAAATAATTATATAATTTAAACTTCACAGGGAAAAAAATAATGATAGGGCAGACTTTTTTTGTTATAACACAACAGCAACAGGAATTTTGTTTTATGAACATCTATTACAGTATAATCTAACAAAAAATTTTCTCATTTGTCCAGAGATCTCCCACTTCATTTTTTCCCTTAAAAGGCTACAAAAGTAACTGAGGTAAGAAAAGATAAACAAAGTTCAGTTCATGTTCCTTATAACAATGACAGCTCCATGTATATGCTTATAAACTGGTGATTTATTATTAACAAAAACTCAATTGCACAAAATACTTACATTTTTAACTAAGTGACAATAATAATCTGCTGACGTGTAGCCAAGAGTTGATATGAATGTAGTGGTTTCAGCTTCATTACTTTCCCACTTAGAAGAAGAAAGGAGATGGCACAGCAAACTCTGTGAGAAACCAACAGAAGGGCAATAAAAAGAAGTATTAGGCTACAACATGCTGTGTGAAAAGAACCGACTGCTATGGAACTGTATCTGGGGTAAGATCTTTTGATTGGTTGGGCCATTTCACACCATCAACGCAGAGGAGCAGGCAGCTCCCATCAACCATAGGAAAAGGCTGCAGCTGCTAGGATCAAATATGGATTCACACACCACACAATTTCAGTAGTTGTGCAACAGCAATGGAGGCCATCTGTGTCAAAACCAGACAGACCTTAGGTAGGTTTCAGTTCTCTGGGAGCCATTTCAGTCTGATATCATCTGGATAGCAGTAGTCACGTTGCTACATAGCAAAAAACTCACCTGTAGTCTTGATCAGTACTGTGATCAAGAAGAGAAAGCACAAAGTTAGCATTTACTTTTCCATATCACTCCTTCAAGAGGCCCCAGTGTTTTTGATGGGATTCAGGGTCTGGCCTCATAATTTAATTTGCTTAATTTCCTCATTATCTTGAAAAGATAATGATAAAATTTTAGTTCGACATTTACTTCTCTACCAATTTCACTACGGAATGCTTTAAGTCACATTTAATAAAACCTTTTGAATACATCATATAAAAACAATCCTTTGAAGATAGATTCAGAGTGAAGTCAGATTAACACATTTGATACACTGGTTCTCCAGACACGTATAGAGGACTCTGAACATAGTACTCTGGTTTCACGTTTTCCTAGTTCTTCAGTGCTATACTACAGCTCTGCTGCCTTTGGACAGATCTTGCACCCCAGCACCTTCCCAACTGAACTCATTTATGAAAAACTGTTGTGTGAAATCTTGAGCAGGTTTTTTGCATCCTGCTGTCACAACTGAGCAGAGGTAGTTTTATGTTGCTTATCAAATGATGTGCTCTGAACTTGTTGCTGTTTTCTTCCTGTCTTCTGTTGCTCCATGTGGATATAACAGCAGCTACATTCCCTTTCCAGAAGTTCATTTCAGGGTTTTATATCATTGACACTTAAAGTATAAACTAAATTACAGTCCATATGGCAATAGGTATAAAAACCTTCGTAACAGAGGGTCAGGATTAGCAAACACTGAAAAAGATGTTCATTTTAAAAATATGTAATTAAAAGTTCAGACAAAAGCTCTGTGAATTCCATGGTCTTACAGGGTTTCACTCTATGTATTCATTTTAAAAGAGGGATCTGATGAAAGATCCCTGTACTCGGCGCTGGTGAGGCCACACCTGGAATACTGTGTCTAGTTTTGGGCCCCTCAATACAAGAAAGACATTGAGGTGCTGGAGCATGTTCAGAGAAGGGCAACGAAGCTGGTGAAGGGTCTGGAGCACAGGCCTTATGAGGAGCGGCTGAGGGAACTGGGATTGTTTAGCCTGGAGAAGAGGAGGCTGAGGGGAGACCTTATCGCTCTGTACAACTACCTGAAAGGAGGTTGTAGTGAGGTGGGTGTTGGTCTCTTCTCCCAAGTGGATAACAATAGAACAAGAGGAAATGGGCTTAAGCTGCACCAGGGGAGGTTTAGGTTGGAAATTAGGAAAAATTTCTTCACGGAAAGGGTGGTCAAGAATTGGAACAGGCTGCCCAGAGAGGTGGTGGAGTCCCCATCCCTGGAAGTGTTCAAAACACAGGTAGATGTGGCACTTTGGGACATGGTTTAGTCTAGTCTACCCTTGATTGGCTTAGAGTAGACTTGGTAGTGTAGGTTAATGGTTGGACTGGATGATCTTAAAGGTCTTTTTCGACCTAAATGATTCTATGATTCTAAGATTCAAAACTAAAAAAATAAAAATCTGTTAGCTCATTTTCTGCTTTCAGAAATCCAAACCAAATATTTATGCACGCTTTTGTTGAACATCCCTAAGCAACTGCTTTAGAAGTCCTGGAATTAGATGTATTCCATGTTTGATTAATGTGAGAGAGAAGATACAATCAGCAGAAGCACACCAGAGGACTAAGAAAATTCATTACTATCAAAATAAATAACAAGCATTTGGGGCACCTTATTTATTGTACGTTTGTTTAGGATTATTCTACTACCTTGCAGACTTATGTTAAATGCCTAAATACCCTTTTCTTTCATTGTAAACCTTTTTTCCTAAATAGCCCTCAAAAGGAGAAACTGCTGGTTTACTGCCATCTAGCGACTTCCCTAAAACTAAGGAGGAAGGAAAATGCTGTGGCAACACACAGTTTCAAAGAAGTAATTTATGTGCAACTTTTGCATTCTTAAGAAAAAGACATAAAAAGGTGGATTTTCAAAATGTACAAGCACCTAAATACAGTCAAAAGTGAACACCAAAATCTATTAAACTGTACAATCTCCAAACACCCCTTAATCAATTTGTTAATAGGGAACTGTTTGTCCTTTGCAACTATTGCTAAAGTTAAAATTTGTTTTCAGAACACTATCAACGGTTCAGACAAGTGGGCCCTACAAAATAGGATGGTTTACCAAGTAGAATGAGATAAGGGATCAAGACTGCAAGTTGAAAACACAATAAACGAGGAGTTAGCCACAACAAACCTGGGATGCTACTTCTGCTAGAGGTAAGGAGGGGTGCTTGAAAAGTACAAAGTTTGTTGGATTGCTCAATGAAAGACTTGCAAAAAAGTTCACCAGTGAGAAGTATAAACATAAAAAGCTCTGAAAAGGATTTGACAGGTTGACATGGCAGCTAATGACAGCTACCTGAGGGAGTAGCTTAAAACACCATATATTCGCCTGTAACACTACAAAAGATATTACCTAGTGACCCTCTCTGTAACCAGAATTTTCCTAAGGGTAAAACTAAAAAAACACTCTTTATGTGAAGAGTAATTTCAAAACTACTTTTCCCCTACCCTTGTGTAACAGTCATTGTTAACTCAATAGAGGAAAAGACAAGACAAAATTACTACACATCATCACAGCCTGCATATGGCCTGCAACGCTTTCCTGGGTTTTTTTGTTTAGTTCGTTGGTTGGTTGGTTTTTTGTTCGTTTCTCCTTTTCTGAGCACTTTACTACATCCATGCTCAGATTTTACAGATCACTTCAGTCATTTTTTTGGAACACACAAAACCTCTGAACAGCCAGAAGGGGCCAAGGGAAACAGGGGTAAGGAGATACTGTAGTCAAGATGAAAGGAGATATTCGGTATATGTAAAAGAAAGGTATGTATTAAAGGTGAAAAACATTTAGAATTCAGCTCTATGGTTTTTATATTTAATTTTACAGATGCTATTGCCAGTGCAAAGCCTGAGACATACCTACATGCAACAAAGGTTAAGAGATTTGGTAACAATAATTTAAAGCATTTATCTTTTAAGATTTAAATGCTTTCTTTGGTCCAAAACATGTCCAGAAAGTTCTCCTTCTCTCTAGAAAATGTACCTCATTTACTGTACATCATTCTGGTCGTAAGTGATAATTCTCTTACTACTATATATTGCATTAGCAGAGAGCTGTCTGAAAGATAAGTAAATATTGACAATTCACTCTTACCTTTGGCAAATTGACTGTTGAATCGATAGGAAATCAGCTAGATGGCTGTGTCCAAAAAGGTACAGTCAATAGCTCAATGTCCAAGTGGAAACCAGTAACGAGTGGTGTCCCTCAAGGGTCCATATTGGCACCAAAACTATTTAGTATCTTCATCAATGGGATAGGATTGAGTGGGACAGTGGGATTGAGTGCACCCTCCACAAGTTTGCGGATGACACCGAGCTATGTGGTGCAGTTGATTTGCCTGAGGGCAAGGATGCCATCCAGAGGGAACTTGACAGGCTTGAGGAGTGGGCCTGTGCAAAGCTCAGGAAGTTCAACAAGACCAACTGCAAGGTCCTGCATCTGGGCCAGGGCAATCCCCAATATCAGTGCAGACTAGATGATAATATCTTTAATATTAATATCTTTACCATATTAATATATTCCTATCTTTAATAAGTTTATCAATGATGTGGACAAGGGGATCGAGTGCACTCTCAGTAAGTTTGCAGATGACACCAAGTCGGGCGGGAGTGTTGATCTGCTTCAGGGTAGAGAGGCTCTACAGAGGGATCTGGACAGGCCGGATCAGTGGGCCCAGGTTAACTGTATGAGGTTCAACAAGGCCAAGTGCCGGGTCCTGCACTTCGGGCACAACAACCCCATGCAACACTACAGGCTTGGGGAAGAGTGGCTGGAAAGCTGCGACCTGGGGGTGTTGGTCGACAGCCGGCTGAACACGGGCCAGCAGTGTGCCCAGGTGGCCAAGAAGGCCAACAGCATCCTGGCTTGTATCAGGAATAGCGTGGCCAGCAGGAGCAGGGAGGTGATTGTGCCCCTGTACTCAGCGCTGGTGAGGCCGCACCTGGAATACTGTGTCCAGTTTTGGGCCCCTCCATACAAGAAAGACATTGAGGTGCTGGAGTGTGTCCAGAGAAGGGCAACGAAGCTGGTGAAGGGTCTAGAGAACAAGTATCATGAGGAGCGGCTGCGGCAACTGGGGTTGTTTATCCTATACATCCTATACATCCATCCCCTTGGCCTTGGATTAAAGTTCTGCGACATAATCCCTTTCAGCCTGAAATTGAATTAATGAATTATCATAAAGTCCTCACAATGACCAACTTCCTTGAACAACCTTGCCAGTGGCTTTACTTTATTGATACAATTTATACTGATCAATATTCTAGCTAACTCAATTTAGCATCCACTGCTGCACAGAGATTTCTAGTATCCTTAACAGGCAGATAATCCTAGGAGCATTTGCATGAAGACATAAAATCATTTACCTTATCAGTGTAAACACAGTGCTTCATATCTACCAGGTTTTGTAGTGGAGGAGGCCTGATCTAACATTTACTGCTCTGATCATCTACCTCGACTTTAGCAAAGCTTTTGACACCGTCTC